GGTGATCTGGTCACCTGAGCCTTATGAGAAAGCGGCCCCACTGGTGAATTGCTCCCCTGTTTGGCACATTAAGGAAGGTCAATGCCACAGGCAAGGAGAGTGACTGAGGACATTTGGGGACAGAGCTCTCACTCTCCTCCTGGACAAAATGCTCCAATCTCCAGAGACACTGAGGCCAGGCCTGGAAAACTTCGAGGCTCTCAGACACCACCAGGAAGCAGTGGGAGCTTATGAGGACTGTGAAACCCAGCAGACCAAAGGAATACCATGGGCCTTCGGAAAACTACACCGCCACTGAAATCACAGCCTGCAGTGCAGGTGGCCAAGACTGCACTAAACCTAAACAGGTGGCTGCCTGCTAAAATAGAGGAGGTGAGTTGGCCCCCGTGTCTCCTACCACCACAGACAAAATGTCCACAATAGGACTGGAAGTCATTCATCACACTGAGAACCAAGAACATCACAAGCTGAATGACAGGGGACAATCAATGCATGTCATCATTCACAAAGACAAATCAAATGTTGGAATTTTCTGATGGACAATTTAAAGCAGCCATTATAAAATGTTACAGCAATCAATTACAAATTCTTCTAGAGCAAATAAATAATAGAAAAAATCAGCAAAGAAATAAAATTAGCAACTAAGAATAACCAAATGGAAATTAATTCAAAAACATAACACTAATGTAATACTCACTGGTTGGGCTCAGTAGTACTGTAAAGATAACAGACAACAGAATCAGTAAACTGGAAGATGAGAATAGAATTTACCCAGTTTGAACAAGAGAGAAAACAGATTTAAAAAGATGAAAATTTGGGAACCTATGAGATAATAACCAAAAAATCCAATATATACAACACCATATCAACAAGTTACAGAAACCATGACCACATCAATTAATACAGAAAAAGTGTTTGACAAAATCCAATGCCCATTCATGATATTCACCAAGTTAGGAGTACATGAGTATTGATTTTAAAAGTGTACAACAAACTATAGTTCCCATCATATTTAATGGTAAAATACTGGATATTTTCATTTTAGTATTGGGGACAAGGCAAAGGTATCCATTCACAGCACACTTACTCTGCAAAGTTCCATTAATTCTAGTCAGTGAAATAGGCAATACAGAGAAATAAAAGGCATATGGATTCAAAACTGTTCCTACTGGCAGATGACAATATTGTCTACCTAAAAACTTCCAGAGACCCTACAAAAATAGTCATAAAGCTGATAAATGAGTTTAGCAACCTTGCAAGATATGAGATTAACACATAAAATAAATCCTATTTCTCTATACTATGTACATGGAGATTATAAAATTTAAAGCATGAAATTACTTAAGTCACTTTAAATGAAATAATCAGGCATATCTTGAATAAAATCACAAGATCTGTATGCTGAATATTATAAAATGTTAACGAAAGAGATCCAGGACCTAATTAAATGGAGAAACATACCATATTCATGGATGGAAAAGCTGAACATAGTAACTCTGTCAGTTACCTCTAAACTGAGATAAATCTGCAGACTTAATAAAATCCCTATAAAAAAATCCCAGCAAGTTGTTTGTAGACAAAAACTTCTTCTAAAATTTATATGGAAAAGCCCTAAAATCAAGTGGGAATAATTACTTTTCCTGATATTAAAGAGTGCTATATAGCCACAGAAATCAAAATAGTGTAGAACTGACAAAGAGATGATTGTGTAGACAGATGGCACACAATAGACAATCCAGACCTAAACCCAAACAAAAATTATCCAAATAGCTTTTGACAAAGGCAAAAAAAAGCAATTCAATGGAGGAAGGATCATTTTCAACAGAGGGTGCCAGAATAATTTGATATCCATAGGCAAAACCAGATATATTAAAAAGGGTCTTGAGCTTAATATACCCTTATAAAATGAATCATAGACTTATAAAAAGTTTTAGGAAAAATAGGGGTAAATCTTTGGGATCTAGGACTAGGCAAAGTGTTCTTAGATTTAACATCAAAATTAAAAATATTTGGTCTGAAAAAATCCATGTGATAAGGATGAAAAGACAAGCTGCCGAGTTTGGAAAAAATACTCATAAACCTCTCCTCCAACCACGGACTAGTGCTTAGAATATAAAGACCTATCAAGATGAAATTTTAGAAATGAAGCACAAATTAATGATTGCCAAGGATTAGAGACAGGATAGGTAAGGGTCTTTCTGGGAAGGACAAAGGTGGGGCAGGTCACAACAGAGAAATACGAAAGATTCTTGCTGTACTAGAACTAGTCAGTACCGTGACTGTGGTCCTGCTGAAATTTGCTTTTCCTCAATAGAAAACTACATGGGTGATACAATGGTAGAGAACTTAGGACACACACACACACACTCACACTCACCCTCACATTAAAGAGTACAAGCAAAACTCGGGAAGTATGAGTAGGATCACTAGATTGTATCAATGTCACTATGCTGGCTGTAGCGCTCCTCTACAGTTTTGCAAACTTCCACCTTTGCAGAAATTGTAGGTAAAATGCACAAAGATCTCTGTTATATCATAATTATAGGTGTATCTATAGTGATCCCAATCAAAATCCCATTAAAAATGAATCTCTTATTTTGATACTTAAGTCCTTAATATTTATTTATGTCAGCTTCTGTTAATGTGTACAGAGCAGCATCTTCCATAGGAACAAGCAGAGGGACGCACGCCAGCTGCCCCGGGGGCAGAGCACACTGCACTGTAGCGACAAGCTCTGGCTACAGGCAGGTCCTCATTCAAACAGGGATTTAAAGTTACACTTCTGGCTTATAAAGTCTACTCTGTTCATATACCAGTGTCTACAAGGACTGACTTCTACAGCTGAACTTGTTAAAGGCAAACAGCTCTTGTTCGTTTTACAAATTGGGGCGAGCTCATCCACTGAAAGGCTAGGTTAGGATACAATGTCTTCACTTCCTCCTTGACCCCAGAACAATGCAGGCCAGGAATTCTAGGCCTGTGTGCCTATCCTGTCACTCCAAACTCCTCCAACAGGTACCCAAACATCTGAAGGATGGAAACAATACAAACAGGCCCATTCTCCCACCAAACTTTCACCAGAAATAAAGCTGACATTTTGATCTTTGTGTATCTTTTTCCTCGGTCTGCTTCTCACAGTGGAGTACTACAGTCCCATAAAGAAGGATAAACTTGAGTCATCTGTGGGAAAATGGATGCACCTTGAGACCATAATGTTAAGTAAAATAGATCAGACACACAAGCTTAAATATCACATGGTTTCTTTTACTTGAAAAACTCAAAATATAAAGAGCAGAACAAAAGATAGATAATAGGAAGTAGGGAGGTAGGTCTTTCTCAAATGGGAAGGGGATCAACAGATGGAGGGAGGGGGGAGAGGAAGCAGATGGAAAAGAATGAAGATGTGTTCTGCACATGTACCAACTATCCAGAGGGATGTACTCGTTATGTACTGTAAATATGTACTGCTAAACAACAGAAAAGGGAGTCTGGTAAGTGATGCAACTGGAAGGAGGAACGGCTGCCAGTAAGGTCTGTGGGCGTTCTCTATCTCTGCATAGAAACATTGTTTTTATTTAGATTGGACAGTTCTTCAGCACGACTTGGGAAACGTGGCCAAGGAGATGTAATAGGTTGGATGAAGCTGGAAGACAAATCTTTACTCCCCATGTATCTCAACTGTATGTGCCGCTATCCTTTTCGGCCTTATTGATACTTACTTCAAAGGATGCGATGCTTCTAATCAAGTTTGAATTAGGGCCGGGCAAATCTAGGCAGGTGAATATTACTTTAAAAACTGCAGACTGGACCGCACAGGTTCCTCCAGGGCTCGGGGCGGCATGACGGAGCCTGCTCATCCCCCACCCGGCGGTGGGCTGGCGGGGTCCGCACGGCACGAAGGAAAGGGGGCTGGATGTGCATTCTCCGCACCCCGTCTGGCGGGTACTAGGCTTCACGCCCCACTGAGCTCGGTCTGTGGGCGGCTCTGGAGGCCACGTGCTGGGCCACGCCGTCCTGAGGCCGGGCTCTGGGGACCCCGCTCCTAGGTGGACGGCGATTAAGATTTAAAGCAAACCCTCAGCCCTGCACGCTCTTTCAAACATAAGGAAAAAGTAGGTTCCAGTCACCGCTTCAGGTACCACCTCAAAATCCGGGGTTCTGAACTCAATTTACTTTGTGTGACTGGTTAAAAAAACCTCAGAGGGTGTGTAACGTTCCTGACGTGCACTTTCAAAGCATGCAAAAATGCAAAACATGCAAGAAAGCAAAGATGACTTTTCCCCTTTATTTTTTCTAGTTTAATCAGATGCTGCCTCAAAATGAAGTATTTCCTCAGTCGTTCCAGCCGGCGGGAGCCAGCCGCGCCCCGACGGCGGAAAGCCCAGCGCCCCAGCGGCCGTGGCTCTGGAGGTGCCCGGGTTGGAGAACGACTTCCGCAGTCGGCTTCGGGGTCCAGGCCCGGTGCAGACGACAGCCGGGTCCGAGCATCCGTGGGGACGCTGTGCGGCGCCTCCCCGTCGCTGCCTGAGCCCCGTGGACGAACATCCGCACCTCGGCCTCCTCGGCATCGCGCAGCTCCGAGCCTAAATCCGACTCCGCACCTCTGCTTTTTTATTTTACTCTTCAGGGTAGAAACGGAGCTCCCAGCCCGCTTTCTGCGGCTGCCCAAAAGCCCGGGCACGCAGGAGAGGAGCGAGGGCCCAGCCCCGCTTCCGACCGCCCCGGACTCCCGGCCTGGGGCGCGGGCGGGGAGCGCGGGCAGGGGAGGAGGCCGGGAAGCAGCAGCACCACACCGCCCGCCCGTGCAGGGGATCCGCGCGCCGTCCTGTGGGCAAAGGCGGGGCCCACGCCGCGTCACGTCCGGAGCGTCCCGCGCCCGCTCCGTCGGGGCCTCGGAAACTCGAAGGCACCGCCCACCCGGGGGCGACCTCCCCACCCAATTGGCTGAACTACATGCCAATCACTTCCGGACCCACCTCCCGGGCAGGCTGGGCGGGGACTTCAGCAGTTTCCTGGGCGTCCGTCCCCAGGCGTCGGGTTGCCGCGGAGATTCAGCGCGGCGAATCAGATGGAGAACAGCAGGGGGCGCCTGGTTTGTTCATCTTGTTAACGTGAGGGAAGTAAGTGTGAACAGCCCGTAAATTATCCAGTCGGTATTTTAAGTGACCTTGGCTTTGATGAAGCGATCTCTGCAAAAGGGTTGAATTTGCTTCTGTTTCTGTTTTCTCTTTCTTGTGCTGACGCGCAGCGCCGCTTGGAGGAACGAGGACCGGCTTCGCCTCTGCTGACGCCCTGTGCTGTCAGGCTGGCTCCTCCCCAGGAGCTACTGAAAGGAAGCCCCCTGTGTTCTTAGAAGGGTACTGACCACTTTCAATAGGAATCCTAGAGCTTGGCAGGTACAACAGTGGCATTATCTTCCTGAGAAGAAGCTATGATATTACTGCTTTATCTTAATACAAGTAATTTCCTCAGATAGAGACTTAGAATTTAATTAGGGCATAAGAGGGAGTCACTGAGCAGTAATCTAACATTTCCTCCTTTTTAATGGGAAACTACGAATCATTCCATGCCCTTTAAAATCATATCTCCCAAGCATTCTACTTATATATAACACGGGTTATGAAATTCCAGATTTCCAAGGAACAAACCAGTCTATTGTTATAATAATAACAACTAAATTCCCCAAACTTTGAATAAGTCTCTGGCATTGGGATAAGAGGTTTTTCCATAAAGTACAATTTATTTCTCACAATCCATAAGGAATTTGCTGTTGTTATCCCTGTTTTACAGATGATGAAACTGTGACTTGGATAAGGTAAGAAGTTAATATAACAAGCTGGAGATGGAAGTCTTTAGTCAAAACCAGAGTTCCAGTACCTGCTCTTAATTCTGCTGCATTGTGCTTAGTTTATATACTCGGAAATGCACCTAGCCAGTGCCAATGTGGATAACCCCAGCTAGTCTTGAATTGATACAGTGAGCATCAGTTTTCTCTTTGAGGTTAACATGGTTTGAGAGGAGGGACCAGGTTAATTATTAGCCACACCTTAGCTAGTGAGGCTAGCCTGCAAAAGCCAAGGCAGGGTTAATGTCTAGGATAAAATCCAAGCCAGACCTGATTTTCACGCTCTATTTACTGAGGAGATCGGAGTCCTTCTTTCAGAATCTCTGTAAACAGGAAGAATAAGTAGCTAATATATTAAAAGGGTCAGAACCTAGACATGCTATGCATGTTCACATTAGCGACCAGAGTCAGCTCAGATGTGTATTACATTAGTTTCCTGGCCCATCACGGAACAACCCTCAATTTACAAGCGTTTAAAGTATATCCTGAGCACTCATTTACTCAAGCAAGAGGGGAAACAAAAACACTGGAAGAGAAGAGGAACAATGAGATTCCTAGACCAGCGAGGCAGGGAGATATAGCGCTGGGTTCTACATCCCCTGGTCTGTGGTGCCATCGGATTCTAGGTGGTATAAATAAACTTTTATAAGAGAATTCTAACAGTTGTGTATTCATCTAATAGGTATGTGAGAAAACACCAGCATCTAAAACCAATTATTTCACAGGTATTATTTCTTAGGATACAGCTAAGTTTTAAAAAGTGAGCAAATTTAAATCCGATTTGAATAATAGCATCAAGTTAATAATACTGATAACAGTAAACAGATAGAGACAAAAATTAGAAGATGCTAAATATAAGAGATTAGAGTTTGGGAAATTTCAATCGCAGATGAATGACCATAGCATTTATCATATACTGATTTTGCCAAATGGTAGAATTCATATGTGGAAATGACTCCAGACTCCTGGGCCTGGTTTCTGGTTCTGAAATGGACTAAGCATTTGACTTTGGGTAAATCATTCCATGCTCTAATCCGAATTAAAAGGTTGAGACCAAATCAGGGGGACACTTACATGGACTGTAGGCCCCTAAGAGGAGTTTTCACAAACAATCTGAGAATCCATAGTTGATAACCAATGATAGAAGACCAAATTAATATATCTTACCAGGAAATTTAGGACTACTTCACAAGAGCATGGAGATGCTACCATGGTTACTTAGGAATTTAATTTGAACTGATTTACGCGAGAGCTCTGCTGAACACAGGGGTGCTTGCGCACTCACTGTACCCCCTTCAGAAAACAGACGAAGAAGCACGACTGCAATTAACATTTTTATATTGGCAATCCGTGCAGATGTTGTTGTTGCTATCCATGCAGCTTTTCCCTATGAGAGCATTTTACCTTTTACCCCTGTACTTTTTCCTGACCTAGAATATGTGTGCACAGAAGAACCACACTCATTCTAATGGTCTCACCTACGCAGGCTGATTTTGAAAAAGTAGATTTGTAGACAACAGTTTTTGGTGGAAATTATATTAATGATAGCAGTGACAGGAAGGATGCAAATTGCTCCTCCTGCCAATGTACTGCACAGCATGCGTGTGTGTGTGCAGCGGATGCTCTACTCAGCTCTTTGTAGCTATAATCTTTCAGTGTCTCTGAAAACTAAGTATGGGTAACTCCAATTTGCAGTTAATAAAACTGAAGGTCAAAGAGGTTGAGTTTTTTGCCCAAGGCACAGATTCATAAGTGACAATATCAGGATTCAAATCCAGAAGGTTTTGGTTTGGAAGTGCCAGCTATTTCTGCACTCTCATACAGGTGGAGAGCACCTCACTGATAGAGGAACGGGAGAAAGAATTGTAAGTAGCAAGTTCCACAGAGTTCACTTTAGGAAAGGTAAAGGGTCAGGCAAGGTCAGTGGTGCAGTGAATATAAGACCCGGTGTGAGTCACTGTCTGGATAAGCCTGAGAGCTGCTGTTAAATTTGCAGTTAGGATCTCATCGCTGTATCCTGTGCCGATAGCTGCAAAGATTTTTTCAGTAGTTAAACTACCACGACAATCCCAATCCCAGGATTCTGGGATCCCCACTCTTGTAAAACTGTCCAGGTTTAGTATTTTCTGCAGCATCAATTGGTTGTCATCCAACAATTTGACAACTTGATTGAGTGTGCAGATCTAGAAAGCCTAGGAATGATAAGTTGAATCAAACATAATTATCATATTTCCATAGTTGTTAACCCATCTCAGAAATGCCTATAAAACAAGACCAGCAGAAAAGGAGTATGGGGGGGTGACACCATTTAGATAGAGTGGCCTGAGACATGACTGACTTGTTTTCACTCTGCAGCGCTGGGGAAGGAAGGAAACTCAGTCATCCATTCAACATCTGGTAAGTTCCTATCAGGTGGAAGTTACCAAAGGCTGGAGAATGCCACTGCACATTACCAGAGGCAGGGCCGGGAAGCCCCAAGTAATAATCTAGACATTATCATCACCTGTTATAAAGACCGACTTATGCACAAAAGTGATGGAGTCCCAGCTTTCCTGCTTACCACCCAAGATCTTGAATAAGCCATGGACACTGCCAGGCACTCTCCCTAACTGAAAATGGGGACAGGAATGTGTCAAATCAGAGTAAAGGTCCAAAGCAACAATCCTTTCCCTCTGCTTTCTCTCCCTCATATCTACATAAAAGATTCCCAGTAAGCAAGTTGCTACCCAGTTTCCTACTGGGGTCTTCTTGAAGGGCAGGAAGCAAAAAGCAGCTGGATTCCTTTTCCGGTGCAATTTCTGGAATAGCCACTGCATGGTGCTAGACGGCTAATTCTATTTTTGTTTACAGGCAGGGGAAAAATTGCAGAACAGAGTGGAGTATGCTCTCTACATCAAGCTGCCAAAGAATTCTCTCCTCTTTGTTATTTCTAAGTATTTCCACAGCTTGGGTTTAACTCATAAAACGTTGTTGGGAAGGAGATTCTAGAAATCTTGAGAAAACATAAACTAAGGAGAAAATGGAAAAATGAAACTAAAGAGCAAGGTGGAGACTAGCAGGTTGAGGAAGGAGATGAGATCTGCAGAGTTCCACACGTGTGACTCTGGGCTATGATCCTAGTCAAGGGCAAATCCAACTGTCTTTGTACGTTAGAGGCGTGTGAATGGGGGTCCCTGCTGTTTCCACTGTCTCCTAATTAAAATGAGTCCCCATCCCTTTCCTGCCTGCAGGTCAGTGTTGAGATTGCCTGGCCTGCTGGCTGCTGCAAGGTCAGAGTCTGCAAAGGGCGGATCCAGCTGATCACATGTCGAGATCGGTGTCCTCCCGTCCTGTGAGGTAGACAGACTCTTGAGCAGAATAGGATTCTCTAGCCCAGACTCCGGAGCCTTCATAACCCTGCATGTCCTGCCTTCCCACTCCCAGCCATTCTTTCTTGCCCTTCAATGGCCTCTGAGCTGGCCTCCCTTCTTCCTCTCTGTAGCCCGCTCTGCATCTAGCTGTCTGAAAGAATGAAATTACTCTCCTCCTTAAACCCTTTAGTGGCCTGTCACTGTGTATAGAATAAAACCCAAGCTTCCCTGTGGATTACACAGCTATACCAGATCTAGTCTCCCCTTGCCTATGGCAGATGCTGCTGTTTCCCCATCTAGTAGCCTGTGGATGCTTCCTCCTTCCTTATGACCAGAACTCCAGGTGTGTGCATGTGTGTGTGCCTGTGTGTGCGCCTGTGTGTGTGTGTGTGTGTGTGTGTGTGTGCGCGCGCACTCGCGCGCACCTGAATGAGCTCAGTTACAGCCTCAACTCTCCAGAACTTTCTGGAGTCAGGAGTAGCCACATGACCCGTTTCTAGCTAATGAAATATAAGTTGAGACTGCTGGTAGATGGCCTCCTGGGAAAGCTATTTTAAAAAAAGACAGACGCAGCTTGCATGGGTCTTTACCCTTTGCCTTTCTCTCTCCTCCCATACCTGCAGTCAGGGCAGTCTTTCCGTGGCAGTGAGGACAAAGCCTGCATGCTAAATATAGAGCCGCACAAAGATAAGAGGACGCTGAGACCCCAGTAGCATGGAATGTGATACCAGCTGGGGCTGCCTACTTCTACTTCTGCCTAATGTGATAAAAATACCTGTCTCTTTGGTGACGTGGCTGTAGTCTGATTTTTGTTTCAAGTTCCCCAAAATGATCTTAGGTGATATCGCTCTGATTTTATGTTCCCTATTTTGCCCTTTTCTCACCCCATGTGTGCTGTGTGTCCCAGACCTTCTCTTTAAATCTAAAAGACCTACTTTCCCAGTTCCTGGGAAGATTGTCAACCGAGAGCTCCTAGCTCTGGGACTTCTTGGGGCACTGACTCATGTGAAGAGGGCTATCTTGTTCAGACTAACACTGGCGTTCTGGAGGAAATGTATGTAATCGCCAAGAGGCACTGTCTCCTCCAAAAGAGATAAACATGAAAGACTGACTCAGTTTCAAAGCCCTATGAAAGACTGAGTGAGACCTTGGCTAAGACTGTGCCAGAGCCACAACTACTCTCTTCCCAAGCCTGCTTTCCTTCCCTTCCTTTTCCTTTGTTTTCAAGGGTATCTGTCTCAAAGGTGCTCCGAACAAAGCTTCCCTTCTAAAGGAGTCCAGTGTCACGAGTTGGTGCCAGTGAGGTCCGAGAAACAGACACTGAAGAGGGGATCTGCACCTGGGTCACCAGGGTGGCAGTGGCAGTCAGTGAGGTCAGTGAGGTCAGTGACCAGTGCTGGTCAGTGAGGCACAGCCACCCCATGGCCACATCCCAGGCGGAGCCACCCAGAGGCTGTGGTCGGACAGAGCAGGTGAGTGGGCCATGGGAGGCACAGCAGGGGCAGCAGCTCAAGGACACCCTTCCCCTGAGGAGCCCATCTTCTAGGACTCAGGGCACTGTGTAAACCAAAGTCATTTACTGATGCTGTGTCGGTGACACATGGAATACAGGGTCCCTGCTTCTATCACACCACATGGCACACTTATGCTTCACATCTCCACAACAGTGGGTTTTGCAAGTTTGGAGGTCCTGGTTCCCAAAGGTGAAACTCTGCACCAAAACAACACAATTTGGACACATGTGAATACTCATATCATTGTCCTGGCAGGGTGATCCATGCCATTCACCAACAGGAAGAAGGGCTGTCACACATGGAGAGGAGGAGTATGTTTGGCATACATCTCTGAATCTTTCCCAACTCTTCCCCTTCCCACAAGCTAGATCCAAAGGCTTTTGAGCCACATGGCCAGGTAATGTCATGGTAATGACCCCACTTCTGCTACCAAATTTTTGTGTTAGTTGCTTTTCTCTCGTTGCTGAGACAAAGTACCCAACAATGAGAATTATAGGGGAAGGGGCTTATTTGGCTTACAGTTCACAGAAGTTTCAGCCCACAATTGGCCAACTCCAAGGCAGGGATGACAAACAGGCATGGCAGAGTAGAAACAACATGGCAGGCACAAGGTAGCAAAGGCAATAAGAGAGTTTTTTTGAGTGTTCAAGTATTTTATTAAATCAGACAAGGAAGCTCCATATTGCCACACATACAGGTTGTGGACATTAATCAGGGCACAGGTCTTGTTTACAGGAGGGCAGTGAATCTACAATGTCCAGAGCAATCAGAGAGCAAACGGCAAGGCCACGTGAGTACTAGGACAGTCAGTCATGGCAGAGGTCACAGTTCAGCCTTCACCTTCAAAACAAGCATCTTAACCAGGAAGACCAACAGGCTGTCACTAGTCAGATACTTTGTGTTCTCCTTCAGGAACTCAAAGCCTTTTACAACTGACTTGTTTGCTTGGAAATAAGTCATCCTTAATCATAGAAAAGGGTTAGCTTTTTAGAGACTTACTACAGTAAAGTATATGACCTTGTTTCACATCGTGCCTTGAAAGTCACTGAGCTTTTTTTCATTTAGCAACACTGAACATCAGCCCAGTACAAAACATTGTGAAGATTAGAGACTGAATAGTGACACAATTCAGTGGGGGCTGTGAAGTAATCTAGGTCTACTGTAACTTAGGTAAGTGACACAAATTTAAGAATGTACTGACTTTTCATCTGGGTGGTGATTTAGAACTTTCCTAGACCAACAGCTGCTTGTCAGGCTTACCATGGTGGCAGAGTAGAGGATAAAGCCTTCTCAGGGAGCCTCAAACTGACTTGTGCTTATCTGCAGAACCCCTGCCACAGAACCAGGAGGCAGTCTCCCTGCCCCTTTTATCTTACTCAGACTACTTAGGGCCGGCAGCACTCACACCCTTAATCCTAGTGCACTTGAGCCTAGCATTGCATCATGGATCAATTCCAGCTTCACACACTCTAGATCAAGCCTATGACCACATGAGGCTTTGGGAGGACATCTAGACCCAAACCATAACACCATTCATACACTCCCTTTTCCCAAATGCCCTGCTGCCTCACCGTAAAGCACCAGAGTGCATTCTTATGCTGTGTTTTTATGCCCTGTGCCTCCTGTCATACACTGTGGGGCCATATTTAAGTGAAAAAAAGGCTACTTGAACTCAAGCATTGTGACATTCTAACAGTGAACAGGACAGCTGAGCAAGCCAGCAGCTACAGGGTGACTAGCCCTTGCAGTGTGAACTTGCAGGACAAAAGATGATTTGGCCCCAGGCAGGCTAGAGCAGGACAACACAAGTTTCCACCAAACTCCTCAGGGTGGTGCACAATTCACAACTTATGAATTACTTATTTCTGGAATTTTCCATTTAATATTTTTCAGGCCACAGTGGACCATGGGTAACCATGGAAAACAAAACCATGGGTGTGGGGGCACTAGTGTGTGTACAAGAAGCATGTACCTCATTGGGCTCTCTCACTTCTTCCTCTTCAATTCCAACACAGAACTTGTGAAAATATGTAATTCTGGTGAATTGGTTATTTACTTAACAATAGATGTCTCCTCCACTAAAATATAAGTTACACAAGACCAAGGATTATGACTATGTCCCTACCTATAGCATAGTGCCTAGAGTTCCAAAATATTTACAGAAGGAGTCATTTAGGAGCTCCAAAAAGTCAGTTTAATGTTTAACTCAGAAATATTTAAAAGGAGAATCACTTGTCTTAATACAGTGTCTCTCTCCTCTCCTGAAGGAGTTGTGTTCTGTTAATATCCACTGTAGAAGATGGACTTTCAGCAGAGGCCCTCTCTGTCCACTTATATTACTCCAGGAAAACATCTTCCAAGCAAAAGGTAGAGAGAGTCAAGTTCTGCTTTCTCAAAGGACAAAAAGCAAAAAAGAATCTACAGGTACTTCTTAGAACACAGGAGACATCATAGGTAAGAGACAATGGTAGGATTATAAAGACATTCGGTTCTAATCCTAACTTTCTTCTGTAAAATGATGATTATAGTTTTGACACTTCAGAATTTCTAGGAGGGCAATAATGAAATACAACCTGTATGTGGAAAGGGTAATGGGAGTTGCCAGGACCCCTGCAGTGGTCCTGACCTCCCGAGAGCCAGTCCGACATCTGCGAGACAGGAAAGTGGGAATTAAAAGAAACACAGAGACAGAGACTTGAGAGAAACTGAGTCTTGGGCTTATCTGAGCCGCTCTGGGGAGCAAAGGCAAAAGGCTCTCAGGACATCCAGTGTTTATTCATTACAAGTGTGGGAAGAGGGGAAACTGGACAGGCCTTGGACACCTGCTGATAACAAGTGCCAAGCAGGCAAGACTGTAGAATGAGGCCACAAGCACATCTTTGCTGAAGAGAACATACGGTTAATTCAGAGGGGAGCATTTAGCTGGAGTCAGTTGACCTTGACTGGGAGTGAACTCAGCCAAGCTCTGCTACTTCCAATGTGACACAGCCGAATTATGGAGGCACAAGGAGCTTGTGCCACTGTAGCCTGCTAATACTAGCCAGAGGTGTCTGCTACACACCTACAAAACACTGATGTGAGGTGCATTGAAGGTGCTCAACATGTGTCAGCTTCCTGCATCTTCACTACTTCTGTCCACCCACTGGAGAAATACATTAGTAACAGCCTTCAGAGGATCAAGGGTAAAGGGACAGCATTGCGCTGGCATGGACTATTTTAACTGCTGTGGACAGGATTATCAACTAACAGATCATTTATCACTTTTCATCTCTATAGTTTGCTCAGTTCTCTAGTAAATACTACACATGATCCTGCCCTTAGGAACTTTAAAACCTAATTGTGGAAAACACCTAGAGAGAAATAAAACACTAATAAGCTATATGCATTTTAATAAAGGAGGCAGGAGGACTGAAATGTCTGAGGTTTTGTTTATAAAAATGGTAAGAAGCACTGGATACACAAGTTCACTTGGATAGCTGGAAACACTGGGCACTTTGACAGCCACTTTTGGCTACTGTTTGGGAAATCCACCTAAGAAATGAATGAAATTCTGATTTAACAATGTGCCCTTTTAAGACCACAGTGCATTTTAAGGAGTCTGTCTGCATAAATTCCCAACTAAAGAAAGATCAAACTTTCCATGACCTGACTTCTCAGCAGAGTGCTTCATTATAGACCCTGGGAAGCTCAAATGGCAGGCTAATTTTTCTTCTTCCCCCAAATTGAAAACAGCTTGAGCTCTCTAAAATCCTTGTCATCTACCAAGGAAGACAGAAACTAAAGCGAACAACCTTATAACAAAATAGCAGCAGGGTTGGCTCACAGAGAAATAGTGAGGACCTGGAGGGATGCAGCAGAATACTATTTCTGCAGCAATGTGACCTTGAGTCTCCTTGCTCTGGTCCTGTCGTATCATGTAAAGGAGAGAGAGAGAGTTAAAATTAGAAAAGGCATTTTGGTGCCTCTCCTTCCAGCCTGCTTTCTGAGAATACATCTTGTTAGACTAGCAGGACCTGGGGCAGGGAAGGAAGATGCAGTGAGTTTCCACGACATTGGGCTGGACGTACCATGCAGCAGCCTGGAGGGGTCCCACTGAAGGTGCAGCCCCAAGGGCAACAGTCAGCTGCAGTCACCAGTCAGCTAAAACCTGTGGTTCTAAAAGTGGGTTCTGCTGAACCCATTTCTAATTTATTAGCAGATGATAGAGGCAAGGAATCAACAAATCATACATTCTGCACCTTTCAGTTCCCAAAGCACAATTTGTCATTCTAATATTTTAATTGTGTTTCTGAAAAATGGGTACCACTGCTTTAAAAAAGATGAGAAGTCATAGTACTAAGTGATTTATGAAAAGTCCTGCAATTTTAACAGAATCTATGAAATTGGGAGAGATTCTAATGCAAAAGACAAAAAAAAAAATGCCTAATGTTCCCCCAAAGAATGGAATTCGTCTGGAATTCAGCTTCTTTTCCTGTGAGGTGGCATTTTCCTCATTGCATTTAACTTCCCATGATCCAGAGGCTTGATTATAGCTTTCAGTGTTAGAAAGGCAGACGTTTGTTTGCTAAAAGGACAGCATAAATGGAGAGGGAAATTTTTACAAGTGATTTGACAAAATATCATTGAAATCTTAATTTGTTTGATAATGATTCATTCTTAATATTCAGTTTGGGGTAGGAATGAATTGGTCACACATGCACTTGAAAATCCACAAGACCACATTCACAATGTTGACAAAAGAGGCATCCAATAAAATTCACAGCAGACATCTACTACGGGGACAAAAAGGAAGGCTGTGCAGGAAGATAGAAGAAACAGGAAAAAGGAAGAGGGAAAAGAAAGGGGGAGAGGAAAAGAGGGCAGAGGGAAGGAAAGAAGGGAGGGAGGGAGGGAGGAAGGGCAAGGACGATGGAAGGAAAAGAAAGCTGGAAACAGCCTAGGGAAACCGACTCGCATGGCGCCATTTTTCTGAGAGCTCTGGGTACTTTCGTCTTCCCTGTCCGCTTTCCCCTTCAGGCTGAGCTCCTGCTGCTCAGTCTTCTGGACAGGAACGTCGTCGGAAGGCAGCCATGGTGGTTGTGAGAATGAGTAAACGAGGAAAGGAAAGACAGTGAAACAAAAGTAGGACTTGTAGGAAACCTCCCCAACCAGATCAACTTTGTCCTCAGCAAATAAGATTTACAGCAAAGGCTGATAATTCTGAGATTAAGAGGGAAAAAGGAGTTAGGAGAAAAGGCCTTGTGTAAAATCACTTTTGTCCATTACTTCAGTCAGATGGAGTGAGATTTCTTCTAGGCCATGACAAGTCCCAAAGCCCATGGAGACTCTGTCTGCCTTTTACAGGGCTACCCGCTCCCTGAGGGATAAAACCAAACCTTTCCATGGTCTCCAGGCTCCAGTATGGTGTAGGCCCTGCGTCTGAATTAAATAAAGTAGTTAACAACTAATGTTGGCCCGATAGATAAGAAAATAATTATTTCTATCAATGAGTAAGAGATACACAGTGCACAGAATCTCTTAAATTAATTCTACAAAACAAACATTCTTTTTCTGTGTGTGGTTTTCTTTTAGTACCGGGGATTGGACTCCGGTCCTTGAGCTTGCACAGCAGGTGGTGAAACCACTGAGCTAAATCCCGGGCCCCAAAACTATCATTCTTAATTTAGTTAAATACACAAATGGTTTCCACAGTTACACTATTTGACTCTCTTTGCAAGAACCATGTCCTGTTAGAAAAAAAAATGTTAGCTCATGTGGGCTCTATGATATTTTCTAAACTCTGTTCAACTACAAAACAAAGCCTAAATTTATCCAACAAACATTTTTCAAGCACCCATCAAGCGGGCAGTTTCAGGCTGCACTAAGCAAGACCATCTATGTCTCATAGAGCTTCCAGATGTTAAGCAACTAATTACCTAATCCATCACTTGATTAAAATTGTGATGAATCCTTGTGATCATTTGGATATGGTCTGAATGAGTCCACAAGTGTTTGTGTGTTGTAGTTTCTTCCCCAGTGTGAGGTAAAAAGAGCGTAGAGGCTTCATCTGTGGATGAGATTTGAGATGGAGCCTTTGGGAAGCGATTAGGATTCCATAGGTCAACAGGGTGGAGCCACCACGATTAATCCTGGCACACATACACCCCCTCTCTGACCATGTGAGACCCTGCTCCTTGGGACTGCTGGCAAGAAGACTGCCCCTAGACGTGTCCCCTTGACCTTGGACCTCCAAAACCATGAACCAAAACCACCAACCTCCTTCTGTAGAAGTTACCTAGCCCGTGGCATTCAGTTATTAGCAACAGCAGGTGGGCTGACACAGTGCAACTATGCTAACGTGTAGAGTGCTATGAGAGTATATAGGTTAGAGACCTCGGAACTCCTCTGAGAGAAAAATGATGCTTAAATCTATAGTGGAGGTTAAGGAGAAGTTACCTATGTGAATAGGGAGAGGGGGAGTAGTTTCCAGCAAGCTTATTGAAGACCGCAGAGTGGGAGGGAGCAGAAGATGCTGGCAGATCCAAAGGAAGTCAGTGCAGCTAAAGGGCACTAGCAAGGTAGGGAACACAAGGCGTCCAAGTCGACAGCAGAGGCTGATAGCATTTCAGAGAAGTGGACTTGGTTTCTAACTGAGCCCCGAATTGCTGAGAAGAGCTCCTTCAGAAGGGTCGAAGTCCTGAGCATGGGACGTGGCGTGGCCGACTGGGGATAAAAATGCTTATCCTTTCTAAATTCCTTCTCCCATCCTTTACTCCTTGCTCACCTTTAACATGTAAAACGACACATTTCCAGATGAAAGGTACATTCTTAAGTGATGACTGAGTTTATCAATGTTCTTTCTTCTGTGGAGGGGACAAAGTGAAGCTCACAGGCGACTGGAGCTATAATGGCCTAGGAATTGTGTCCCAAGCCTATAATTCAATGCTGCTTTAAGAAGAAACCAGTGCTGTAGTCAGACCTTTGGAGAAAATAGTAAATTCAGTACAAGTAAATAGGTTTCCTTACTGAGAGTCTTCACAGTACCTTTGCTTTTCTACAAGTCAGTGCTTCTTACCAACCTTAGCCAGTTTTACCCCGAGCTCCAGGATCTAGAGTGACGTGAACGTCAAGGCCTCCACCTCATGGAACTTGGTCTCTGTCCATGGACTGTGGTCCCTCAGGAGGGAAGCAATTGGCCGGACTTCCCAAACTTGCTGAGTGTGGAGTATTTTTTTCAGCAGAGAATCTCACAATATAGTATTTGAAGAAGCAATGCCAGACATCCCCAAAATACAACTCAGACTGTTATTTGGGAAAGTACTATTAAAAATGTACTAGGGGCTGAATCCGATGGCACATGGTGGGGCGGCCTTTTTAAAATAAATCTGAAAGCAGCAAGCTTAGAAAACCCTGTGCACCCAGGGGAAATGCCAGATCCAAGAGAGCATGGCGGAGCTCTCACGGTGAGGACAGAGGCACATGTCCGCATCCCCACCCGGGGGCACAGCAGCGACTCTCTCCCACATGATTTGGACTTCATGCCAGTCATACAGTAATTGGGTCTATAGTGCTGTCTATTTTGATGGGTTTTTAATTCAAAGAAAGGTGTCACTGTAGATGTGAGGCTGATTAAGACAGCCATCCCTTCATCCTGAAAACCAATGCAGATTCTGAAAGTTGTTAACAGAGTCTGTGTTTGTGTTGATGTAAAACTAATAAAAACTTTCTTCTCTTTTCTGGCCATCTCTAAGCCAAGATCTTCTCTGAAGTGCACGTCCAGGAGCAGAAGCACTGACTTGGTATTGCAGGGGAGTTGAGGACTGCATGGCGCCATGCAGGTTTCATGTTGTTTAGGTTCATTAAATTTCATCAAGCTTGATGCTGAGCTCAATGGGAAGTTCTTCTTTCCCATTCTAAAATACAGCAGAGAGTAATTAGTCAAGAAATTTGCTGATCTTGGGACAAGTGGAGACCAGAAGATGGCTTGTCTTTCTGCTCTAGTTTCTCAGATTTCCCTCTTGATGAATTACTTGACTTTCAAGAATATTTTTGGTAGATCCTGATGATTCACATCACATTGAGGTATTGTGCTCTGATTTTATTTGGAAGGATATAATAGATGACCCTTTTCAGATAAATGCATAGAAAGAAGCTGTCTTGGTACATAAAGGCTACTCGGGAATGCTTATTAAATTGTTTAATCTTGTTAGTGACAAATGTTTCCTGTGAGTCATTTTCCCTCTGCTGACAATGTCTTCCTAAGCTACTCAAGTCAAAGATCAAATCAACCGCTCTGGTTCCCACCTTCAAATCCACTTTGAAGGGAATTAGCATTATCAAATAACTCGACAGGAGAAATCACATCTGAACAAACTGTATAGGAAAATTAATATTGGTTCAGAGCATTATATCCATGTCAAGCGGGTGTGGGGCCTGCCGCCTGGCACTGAGACAAAACCCTCATTGAAATATTTTCTCCAGCCTTCCTACCTCTTTCATCGTCCTGTAAACTCTAATGTGTTATTAACAATAACCTTGGCTATGAGAATGACAAGAATGCAAAACCAAAATGTTGTTCCTTTTCCAACAAAAACTGCACCTCGGGCCAGGGATTTAGCTCAGTGGCACAGCGCCTGCCTCTCAAGTGCAAGGTCCTGAGTTCAATCCCCGCTGCCAAAAAAGAGAACTGCACGTCACCAGCAGGACCTGCACTGCAGACCTGGATAACTTCCAGCCGCTCTCCTATCTTCTCTCCAAGAACGGGTGCTTCCCTTTATTTTCACCCACCAACTTCATCCTCTCCTCGTAAGGAGAAGGTTTCCTGTATTCCTCCATGCAATCAGAGCAGGATGGCAGCCTTGACTCAACTCCAGGCCCAGCCCTAGCCTGCATGGCCTCTCCCAGGTTCTCAGCCTACTTCCCACCATCTAGAGCACCCTCAGCTATGGCCAGGACAGGCCGTGTGTGCTCTGTGCTGACCGCAGAGCCAAGGTGTGCGCAGCAATCTGTGTGCCCATGGCCCTTTGTGTGCCTTTTCACATCTAAATTCCAATGCACCCCATGTCATACTCAGAGTCCTATCTCCCATAATATAGGATGTGCACAAGTAACGTAAATCAAAGAAGACCTAAAAATCATGTGACTTCTATCAGGATACATTTATAAACGTCCACCGGAGAAATCTTGCCATAGCTTTTCCCCTAAACTGGTAATTCTAAGCATATAGCCCTTGAATTTTAGGGTACATGACTGCCCACCTCCATCTCGTCAGAAATTGGAGTCCTCCTGCTGTGTCTCAGATCGGCTAGGCAGGTCTGCGGAGAACATCAGGAATAAACATGTCTGCGTGCTCTCCAGGTGACCTAGAGGTCGGTGGGCCGCAGTCTGAGCAAATGGAGAGCAGATTCAATACTAGAAAAAATGAGCGAGGACTAAGATTAGACAGCAGGGTCTTCTGTGGAGGGACAAACCCAAGGAAAGTCATTTACTGTTTCTGGGGCAAACATTTCCTCAGTGTAAACTTTCTCAACAACCAGAAGAACCACCACACCCACAGTCGTAAATCGGACTTCCGCACTGGATTTCTACTACTGTACTTAACACCTTGGGGCCCTGTGGCCAGAAATGTCCAGTTACTCTCATGAAAGGGTGTACAGGCTTCCGTTTCAGAGATGAGGATTTCTAACCCAGGTTGGTAACACCTTGCCTACAGCTGCCAGGCAGGTAACAAGTGCAGGTAGCTGTTGCTCATTTGGGCTAAGAATATGAAGTCAGCTTCCCAGATAGACGGAGCTCAGTTATCCTCAGAGATCAGCTGAACCCTAAGAATTGCGATTGTGGTTTCAAACACCTGTCCAAGGCAGAACACAGACGTCCCACCAAAGATGGCGTTAATGAGCTGCCCTCGGTGCTGATGGTTTCATTCTGCTTAGCTTTGATAGGCGTTTACCAGCAGCCCAAAACGTCAGAGGCAGGCTGTTCCCTGTGAGGGAGGCGTGCGCCGCACAGGTTCTGTCCCCTCTCTTTAGGCACTAGGGCAAGTGGAAAGGAAAAGTGGAAGAGATTTTCTTTCCCTCCTGTCCCTCTCCCCCTCCTCAATTCTCCCCTCTCTTCCTTTGGCTGCCCTTCTCTTCCCCCTCCACCCCTCTTTTGTTTCTTGAACAACTTCTTAGAAAGTTTCTTAAATTCACTGATTCATGTGTATATTCAAAAATATTATCGCCAAACTATCAACACACCGTTTTCATTATTATTTCCCAGGAGCTCTGCTAAATGGTACCCATAAAATAGGGTACAGAAACTAACACAGCCTCTGTGAGAAAGAAAAGTGAGAAAGGCAGATGCGACAATAATCCCACACGCAGTATAAAATGATAAGTGACGTAAGCGCTACTGAATAGAGTTGCCATGCTACAAAATGTACGAAGTGGGAAACGGCCCTGGCAGAGGCCAGCAGAGGTGGCAAGATGGTAAAAGAGTGGGAAGAACCAATGAAAGGAGAGGAAGAAGGAGGAATTTTGCAAAGCTCTTGGGGTGGGGGTCAGGTGAGGGAGAATCAGGGTAACTCAGAAATTAACAAAGACTCCTGACCAAGAAGCGGGACCAAGGGTGTTGTGGGTTGACTTGTATCTCCCTAAAAGTTATGTTGAATCCTTCGCCATTGCCTCGGAATCTGACTATAGTTGGAAATAGGCTTTTTGCAGGTGCCATTAAACTGAGCCCATACACGAGTAGGAGGCCCTTAACCCAGCATGCGCAGTGTCCTGTGGAGCAGCCGGAAGGAGAGACAGAGTGAAGCTGAGGGAGAGATGGAGGTAAGCTTCATATGCAGGGAGTGTCAGGCACCCTGGGAGAGGCAGGAAGGACCTCTCCTCTAGAGCCTTGGGAGAGAGCCTGGTCTAACCAACAGCTTGAATCGGGACATCTGACCTCTACAACTGTGAGAGAATCACAGTTTTAAGCTAGCTGGTTGTTGGAATTTGCTGCACAGTGTGGGGAAACTAACACAAGTGTGAAGTATGACAGGCTCAAACCAGGCTCGAAGCTCTTCTGAAAGGTCTTGGCAGCAATTGTAAGCCAAATAGTCTTGTATTGTTTTTATTTGTTATTGTTGCTGTTTTCAGCAAAGAGGCATCTATAACTGGGTAGCCTGTGGTCATGGGACTTCATTAGCAAATGAATTGGAGGATGATGCGGACGATAGGAAACCAACATTCTAAGTCATTGATTTCAATACAGCCACCAAACTCGATCACCAGCTCCTTTCCAACTACCGAGATCACCATTTTCAGTAACACAGGACACCTGGAACCACTGTTCTGGCTCTACTCCAAGGACCGCTTCTAAGAAACTCATTTAAGAAAATGCTCAGGGTCACAATAACATTTGGAAGTCCTAGGTTTCTTGAGAGCTTTCTTTTCACTTGGAAAATCACAATGTGAGTCTCTGGGATTCTGCCAATAAAGACAGAGTTTAGGCACAGTTATCAAATGTGTTTGATTATGAAATATACTTGGGCCAAACCAAAACCAGAAGTAAGTGGGAATACCTATTAACATTCTAAAGAATTCACTTTTGAAAATGCAGAGATGTTTTTAAGAATAATCAATTACCCCAAAAAATATGCATTGGTGGTTCAGTGGTAGAATTCTCACCTCCCATTACCCCAAAACAACAACAAAATATCTCTTCAAACCCTCACCCAAGTTTTGGGACTAGGAAATTCTACCCAGTATTTATTTGAAATCTTGCTATTCAGTTGTTCTCTTTACTGTGTTGTTGGCCCACTGGGGATAACTGTTTCCAGTCTGTGAAATTATCATTATTTTGAAGCTCACACCTTCCTTCCCATTCTCCTCTCCCACCTGACTCTCATTTCAAAGACATGAACTCAAGAAACTCTAAAGGCCAGATGTGAAGCAAATATGAAAAAAAATTAAAAAGAAAATACTTATGAACCATTTTTAAAACCATGATACATGCAAATCTGATTTGAAATTCATAGCCCCAGACTTCAAACTTGTGGTCATTATCACCAATACAGGGATGATATACTATGTAGGAAGGGACGAAGGAGTCATTTGGTGCAATAGTCTCACCGTGGTTATAAGAACCGAAGGCCCAGATAACCAAGGGGGCACACCCAGGCCACAGCTGACTGGCTCACCCAGCTGGAAGGGCTGAGGTCGAGGTTTCCCTTCCAACCTGACTTCTTCTGAAATATATCTTCTGGGGCTTTAAGTAAACATCTTAAACTTCTGATATTTAAATCCAGACATTTATAGTTACTTTAAAGATCACTGAAAAGGAAATCTAATGAACTCAACTATCTCAACCACATATCTCTTCTCTGTGAGTGAAGCTAACCAAGGCAACTTTTAAAAACGGGGAGGAAAAACCTATGAATAGTAAAAACAATGCCCTATAATTGTTGCTTCATGCTCTAGTTCTCCGTGCACTGTGTAAATGATGTTCTTGAAGTTACCAAACACATAATACTCTCTTTTGACATTTTTATATGTTTATTATGAATTCTCCATTCTTGGTGGAAGATTTTTTCCTCTCAATAATAAGAAGTAAAGACAACGTCTTTGGCGCACACCTGCCTTGGCTCTTCTGTTTTGTTCTCGCTCCTTGCCTTGCCTCAGCCTGTGTGGTTGCAGGTAGAAAGATCACCCCACCCCTGCCACCCTTGGGGCAGGAAAGTCAGGCCTGGCCCTCCCTGCTCCTCACACTGTGGGCTTCTTCAGATCCCTGGTAAGGGATTTGTAGAAGTGGATTTCAGATGCGATGTCACTGCTGCCCCTCGGAGGTACCTGTTTTGCGGACTGGATTCTGCCCAAAGCAATAGCCTTTCAGACAGGAGAGGCAAGTGGAAAGAGGATGTGGGTCGGCACTGCAGGTGACCCATGTGAGCCTCAGCTGGGACAAGGATGATGTCTCCCCTCTGTAGGACACGTCCTCCACACCACACCAGCTTCCTTACCTTGTGCTCAGCAGGAGAAACAACACTCTTTCCTAAAATACGGGGGCAGACAGGTGAAGGGAACTCCTGAGAAAGTCTTCAGTCCCCGTTTCTCTTTCTAAGGAATTTTAGGGATAATTTTGGCTCTATACAATATTCTCCTTATTAGCTACTTTTGGATCCTAATATGTACCCCAAACACATACTCTTCCAAGCATAATTCTATCAAAATTAAACAGGAATGATGCCAACTGGAGACGTCCAGGCTTTGATATTTCCAACCAGCCCCACCAGCTTGTGCAGTTTCTCCACTGCGGGCAGCACACGGATAACCTCCCATCTGGGCCAAACTACAAAAGCACATTTCATTCCCGGTGTTTTCTCATTTCAGAACGCAGGTGAATCTTTCAGAACACTTTGGGAGCTGCCTTGCAATGCTGTCATGCTCCTGATAATAAGAAATACCACAGAAAAGTCAATATCGTCCCTCCAACTCAGGAGACAGCTTGATGTAGACAAACATTGAGAAACAGAAGAAAAAAAGTGGTCTGCGATCATCAAGGTCCCACCATTGGTTTGCAGGACAACTTGGATGGGCTTCTCGTCTCTCCTCATCTATAAACCAAGAGTGATGAGATGGACTCGAAACGAGGCTGGGAGAAGCAGCAAGGCTTGCAGAGCCTGTCCTCCCTGCTGGCCCATCAGAGCCCTCGGCCCATACTGCCTTCCTTTCTCTTCTCTGTGCCCTCTGAACTGCAGCACATCTGGAGTAGCTTCAGAAATCCTATACCTCCATGTGTCCGAAGGAAAGCTCTTTGAGAAAGTTTAACCTAAAAGAATCCGTCACCCCAAAATGGCCCAATATCAACGGTTGAATAAGACACCACTATAGCAGAAGGGAGAAATGCAGAGTAGACAGCAAAGGAACACCGCAGGGGGTCATGCAGGGGGCTGCAGCCCTGAATAAGAGCTGATGACAAACTGAAATGTTCGGCTCTGCATGCAGGCCCTGCCACTTCCACTGTTACCTACAGACACAGGGGTTGTGGGGAGACTGGACAAGACTGAAAGCCAACACATGTGGTGGTTAACGGCAAGGGTTTGGAGACAAACAGAATTACCCTCTGTTCCCGGCTCCACCCTGCACTCGTGTGGAGCCTTGCACGAGCCATTTAACCTCTGTTACAAGGGTGACAACATACTGGTATCTAATTTATAGGTGGTTGTTGTGAGTATAAATATTGTAAAGAACACGTAGTGCTCTGCACAGTATCAGCCAAGTAGCAACTGTTCAATAAACATTATCAATTATTATTGTTCTTTTTTCTAGGCATTTAAGGTCAAGTGTGATTCACTCCTAATCACAGAGCTTCAACCTTCCAAAGCTCCAAAGGCATAGCAGGAATCCAATGCTTGGTCAAACAAAAGGAGAGGAAATGTCCATTCCTGAGGATCTCCCTCCTCTGTTAAGCACTCAGGAGATGATAAGGTGGTACCAGGGGTGGGACAAGGTCTGCCCTCTTCACACCCTAAGTATTAAAACTCCGGAGAGCACGCTCATTTTAACTGTCAGTCTCCTCGAGCAAAACCCAGCGACATAGCTCTATAACCAAAGGGGACCCTAGGTGCTGTGCTACCTTTGTACCTGCCCACTGGCTTGCATAACAGTGGAAATCAGTACTTCTCAGCGTTGTTCTTTTTTAGATACCTAGAAAAGAGGGTAAGCCTGGATTTCTGCTAAGTGACAAGTATTTAAAGTGAAATCTACCAGATATACCAATAGTTTCCTCGGTAAAAATTAAGTGCTTTTTTCAGAGGATCCTGTTTTTCTTTACTCCATAGGGACATTTGACAGGAAGCCATACTATCATTGTCTTGCAAAGACGGGACATCTTAGTCTCAATGTGGAACAGGACAAGATCAGCAAGTGAGATAAGTGTGACGTTGAAGGATACCAAAGGGAAACATCTCCTGCAATACTCCTGTGTTTCCCAGGGTTTCCAGCCGGGAAAAAAGACCCCCGAGGAAGAAAACTGACGACCGAGCTCAGATTCAAGTGGGTAGCTCTGCTGATCCCAGCTGGAGGTTCCAGTAGTCAATAACTGAAAACACTTTCATAATTTTACATTATTTTCAGCAGTCATATATAGATACACATGTATACACATGTAGGCTAAATAACATGTAACTAGAATACTGTGAAGCTATATACTTGATAAAATTTGAATTAAATATGAACAGCAGGTCTATTCATAATTGCTGAAAACTGGAAAGAATCCAGATATATTCCAGCTAGAGATAAGCAGAGTGTGGTAATCCAAGTAGTGGAATACTACACAGCCATACAAAGAGACAAAAGCACATCCCTGTCATCCCAGCACTTAGGAAATTTGAGGTAGGAGGATTACAAGTTTGAGTCCCAGCTGGGCAACTCCAAAATGGATGATAGCTCTTGGCAAGCAGGAAGAAAATGTTCAAATGGGAAGGGGAACGGAGAGGGAGAGGGGAGAGGCAGAGAAGGGAAATGGAAAAAAGGGAATAGAAGGAAAAAATGGAAACAAAACTTTTATAAATGAGGGGAAGAGGGGTTGAAGGGAGGGGAGGGAGATGGGGAAAAAAGAATGGAGATCTATCACATACAGATGCAAATTCCCTATGCTGAATGTGATCACTACGTATATCAAAAGTATACCAATAAAATTAATTTTAAAAATTAAAAACTAAAACGCATTCTGATTTCAGAGATGTTAAATGTGAAAAAAAAAATAAAAATAAAAAAGGCTGGGGATATAGCTCAGAGGTAGAAGGCTCTAGGTTCAATCCCCGGTACCACAACACAACAAAACAAAACAAAACGGATGAACAAACTGGTAATACACATACCTCATGGGTGAATCTCCAAAGCGGAGGCCTTGTGAAAGGCTCTAGGAGTCTATGAATCTGTTTATAGGACTCTCCAGAAGAGACGAAACTGCAGTGGCAGAAAGCAGCCTTATTTGCCAGGGCCCAGGGCCGAGGGTAGGGTTGCCCCGAAAGTGAGGGGAGAATCTGGGGAGGAGAGCTCACAGATCTTGACTGTGGCGACATTACCAGAACTCGCACAACTGGACACCAAGAAGGATGCATTTCGCTGCATGTACATTATGTTTTAATAAAAGTAAAAGAAAAAAGTCTCTGGGGTCAACAGAATCCCACGAGGAAGCACAGCTTCTTAGACACAGCTTTCAAGAGCGGAGGCCCCTTCCTCCGGAGGTGACCTGGCTGCTAAGCGGGCTTCAGTGAGTCGCCGGTGCTAAGCCTCAGTAGCTCCTACCTGGCCTCGCGCCCGGCCTCAGCGCTCTACACACAGCACTGATCACAGAGCCAAGGAGCCCCTGCTGCCAACTGAGCCCGCACCAGGCCCCTCTGAGAACGCAGGCCTCCAAGTCCTAAAGCTTCCGACTTCCCCCGGAAGTGACACGCTTCAGACATCTGTCACCCAGACTCTGGGCACTTTCTTCCCGGAGACTTCTTTTTCCATCCCACGGCAAACATACTGGCAGAGAAACCAGTGTCCCCACCTGGCCGTGCTTCCGAGCCCCTGCCTGGCCTCACACCCCGAGGTGCCCTTGTTGGGCAGAAACTGTTGCCAGAGACCTGTGTCTTTCTGGAACTCTCGCAGAATACATCAGAGGAAGGCAGCAACCCCTGAACCCGAGATCAGGTGCAGGAGAAAGACGACTGCCCAGGTCTCAGAAGAAAAGCGTGTTAATTAGTAACAGCTATCACCTGGAGGTGGAGGGCTAGGCCATGCTGTGTCTCAGTTTGTTTCAGTGTACTCCCTTATATCCCTTGCCCTTCTAGAGTGCCATAGGCTTTGTCTTCTAAGACCAAAGAAAACGCCCCTGGCCTGAGCACGAGGTGGAACTATTTGAATGCATGTTTGCATTCTCAGGAGTGAGCAGAGTAGTTCAAATCGAGCAGTGAAAGAAGGGGAAAAAGGCAAAATATCCCATTAATTTTTGCATTGATTTTCATGTTGCAAAGGTAGTCTTTGGGGCATGTTGAATTAAAAAAGTATTTTAAAAATTAATTTTACCTGCTTCTTTTTGCACTGTGTAATGGGGCTCTGGATGTGTTTGAATTTCCCATACAACTTGCATTATATTTCTAGTGATCATGCAGCTCTATAACCTTGGGAAATAATGAAGTTAAGTTTCTCTTTCTGTAAATTGTTGTAGGGATCAAAGCTAAACAAGGTTAAAAATGGAGGATAGCATCTGGATTATAGGGAACTTCCCTGAATGGTTGGGAGATTTAAATATTTTACTGCATGGAGCACTCAGAAAATGTTCAGTTAGTATTCGTACCCTATAGAGAAGCCAATCTGGATGGAGACAGAGTACAGAGTTCAATACCGACCAGAGGAGCTGCTTGGCAAGCATATTCTTCAGAGATCTGTGAGCATGTTGGGGTCATCCCCTGGAGGCGGATGCTGGTGGTCATACTGGGTTGTGTCAATGCCAGATGCCTCTAGGTAAGGAAGGAAGTATGATCTCCAGGTGGAAAAGGTGAGTCTTCCCCACCACAGTGACATCAAAACATGCGAGACAGGATGCAGTGCCAAGTGGCTTAAGTGGGTTAGGAAAATAAAGGATATGATATTTTTAATGCTTATTACATCTATTCTGTATTACAAACTCATGGTGGATTCATGCGATAATTTTGTATATTCATGGGAAAATGTTTTGGAATGATACATCTTCAAGTGGTTACCATTTTGTGTTTCTTGTGGTGGAACTCAGGGAAGCTTTTGATTTCTGTGGTGTTACTTTTTCCATAGGATTTAGGGACAGGGAAAAATATGCACTGTTTTTCTAATAATAATATATAACTGCGGCGACCTGCATGGTGTAGAGTCTGAAGCCGGGGAGAGCAGTGGGAGATGAAGAAAATGGAAAAACAACAAGAAAGAAGGCACATACCAAGATTATGCTTGAAAGCTGGGACCAGGTGGAGCCATGGCCTGTCGGGAGCTAATGGCCACCTGGAGTCTGGCACATTCTTTATAGTGTAAGACAAACAGGAAGAGAAGGCGGGGTAACTTGCTACATGGCCTGCGTGGCCTAGGCTGAACGTATTGTGACTGTCACATAGTTGGAACATGAATAGAAAGGGAACAAGAAAGAAGGGTACATAATGTAACTGTCTCTGCAGCCTGTGCCATCCAGGGTCTACAACCTTAGTCAAACAGACACAGTCTGTGGAAGAGAAAGGGAATAGGGAGGGCATGAAGGGTCATCTCCAGACTCGGCCTGTGGCATGTAACCATTTGGGAAAAGGTGGTAAGCCCAAGGAAAGACTAAGTTGTCAGCGATGCTTCAGGGATCTTCCAGACGTAGGGGAGGGGCTGTCTGTTATTCCCTTGAGGGTCTCTGTCTCATGCCACATGCTCAGTGGGCCCCCATCCAGGCATCACCACTGACAGCTATCTTAGAATGGTCATCAACTGCCTGTGCTCCTCTCCAGGCACAAGGAGTACACTGGAGCCAGCACTGGCTGTCCAATAGCTGTTCAGTTACTCAGGTGTCCACGGTTGGGCCATCTGCCCTGTCTCCCTGTACTCCTATCACACTGGATCAGAGCTGGACACCTAAGTCGAAGGACAGCAATCTAATTGCATCTCTCAGAAACCTGCCAAGAGTGTTGGTCCCAGAGATATCCAGCAGACCGGAAGCTGTGAGCCCCAGGAAAAAGTTGAAAGCAGAAGAAAATAGAGGGATACAGGAAAGCTGAGAATGGTAGGGACAAGAATGTTAGTCCTGACGGTTCAGCTGGGCTAAATTCTGGGTTCTGCCCCAGATAATGTGGTCTTTGGGTTTTCTGAGAAACCCCTGGACATTGTAATAATTTCTTGTCTTTTCTTCAAGTTAAGTCTACTTGGTTCCAGCAGCTTCTGAAAGAAAGGTCCTAAGGAATGTAGGTAAAATATCTATCTACCTACACAGAGCTTAAAGGAGCATGGAATTATTCTCACTTCAGAGGGTCTATAAATTACTGCCAAGGTTAGTCTCAGCTTCTTCATCTGTAATTATAGGATCGTAATAGCTTTCTTGACTGCCAACATTAGAATGTATAGACCAGACAGGCTAGAGAACTTTGACAATATGATTGTTACTACGATCTGACCCCTGCGGGGGCCAGCCAGTCCACCCAGCCTCCTTGGGCTCCCTGGCCTGCCAGAGGTAATGCTAACATCAGCCCACCTTGATGCCTCTCTTACACAGAATAATTGCGGTAGATTTTTCAGCCTTTAGGAAAGATAATCTACACAATTACTATTAGGAAACAGGAGGGGGCACCCTAAGAATATTTAACTAGTGGCAAATAGCTGCTCTAAATTCACCTTTCTATACCTACTACAATGAATGCTATGCTTTCTCTCAAGCATAAGAAAGAAAAAAATGGTTAATTTTACATCTAAAAGTATTCAGGGGAACCAAATGACTAGTGCATAAGATCAAGAGCACCTAGGTAAAACTGAGAAAAAGGCAAAGTTGAAATAAAGTAGTATCTGACAAACTTAGGGTATCCCTCCAAAAAATCCACTTTGATTTTTACAATGGTGAAAAGAAAAAAGGGTAGTTAAAAATATTTTTACTGAATGACTGTAGAAAGAAATTAGGAGAAGGAAATGACAAAATTAACCTCTAAGGAGCAATTTCTGTATGCCAAACATGTATATTATGAACACTATTTCATATTTTACTGCAGCCCTAAGAAATAGGTACTCAGATTTCCCCGGGAACTCTGGCAATAAGGCTAGCGCCTCTGTCCTAGTCATTTTAAACTAGCACTTCTTTCCATTGATCTGAATTGTCTTCTCAGTGAAGGACCTGAAATAAACAAGTAGATCATCCAAGAAATCTTTAGCGAATTAGGCAGATCAAAGAACGAGGCAGGAGAGACAAAGGCGAGAAGGAGGACTAGGCGAACATTAGTCACTTCCTAGTTGCCAGGACACGATACCCAACACCCACAATCTACATTAAGGAGGATAGGTTTGTCCGGTTCAAGGTTTCAGGGATTGGCTGGCGGCAAGGCAGAAACAGCGGGGGGGGGGGGACAGGACGGGGGGAAACTCGCACAACTGGACACCAAGAAGGATGCATT